ATGATGATGATGATGATGATGATGATGATGATAATGGTGATGATGATAGTGGTGATGATGATAATAACATAATAACAATAACAACAATAATAATAATAATGATGATGATGATGATTACGATGAAGATGAATTATTATTGAATTGATTATGTCTTTGACATGCCGTGAGCTCTTATGAACTTTCAAATGATTCATCGTGTTTGTTCAGTATTTGGCATTTCGGTTAATTCGTTTACTCATTTGTATCTACTTGTTTGTATTTGTTTGTTTGTTTGTGTATTTGTATGTTTGTGTATTTGTATGTTTGTGTATATGTATGTTTGTGTATTTGTATGTTTGTCTGTGTTTGTGTATATGTGGTAGTATATTTCTTTTTTACGTTTGACGTGGTCGAATTCGTTCATAGTTGCTCGTTCAACTTGAATGGCGCCAAAAAACAGTAAACCAATCAGAGAGCGCCTGACAAAAGATGCAAGCAAACAAAAATCGCAAACATAAATCAGGTTTGATATAAAAAAAAAACCATCAAACGAGTGTGCTACGGGCAGTTATGATAATCTATACAAACAAATATATACACATGAAAAACGAATACACGAATACACACACACACACACAAACACACACACATATACACAGAGGAATATACGATACGATATATTTCTATTGGCTACCAAAGAAAATTAAGAAGACTTACTTCGTTCACATACATATACACACACAATATACACATACACACAAAAACAAACACACAGACAGACAAACATAAACATACGCAAACACATATGCAGACATACAGTAATTCTAGAAACACTTGAAAATATCAATTTATTAAGAAAATCTCATCCACAGAGAATGAAAAGTTTTGATATGAGATGATGATGAAACACATTTTTTTGTATTGTATAAGAACAAACACTATGGCACTCATGAATACGTACATGTGGACACATACCTACACGCACACACACACACACACACATACATACATACATACATACACACAAACACACACACAAAAACACACACATACATACGTAAATGCATACATTCATTCATACATAAATACATTCATACATACAAACAAAAACATATGTATATGAATATAAATACATTATTATACATAAAATTTATGTACAACATGCAAAGATTCGAACACATGTGTATGCAGCTCAAACTAGCATATGGCGCATATCTCATCAAGCACTAGATGAGACGGCATTTGTTTACACACAACAACACGCATAACGAACACTCACATACAGTTTTCACACAAACAAATAATTCACACATACACACAAACACACACGTGCAGGTGCACACAATATACACACTAGCAAAGCAGACTCAGACTGCATGCACAACGCATATTCTCAATGATGCATACACGTTACACACACACACACACACGCACAAAAACACACACACGCAAAATCACACAGAAGCACTCACATATATGCACATTGTCGCTTACATGCCATACACACACACAAACACAGACACACGCGCATATACACACAAACAAAATCATGCTCACACACAAACACACGCACGCACACAAACACGCACGCACATACACACACAAAAGTATGTACGTCATGCAGAGGCTTACCTGTATTAACTTTGAGTGGCATGTGATTGTATGCCTGCTACCTCTGTAGTAGTAGTGGTGGTGGTGCTACTGGTGATGATTATAATGATCATGCTGTTACTACTACTACTACTACTACTACTACTACTACTACTACTACTACTACTACTAACACCACTACTACTACCACTAATACTACTACTACTACTGATAATAATAATTATAACATTATTAATAATAACGATAATAATAATAATACCGATAATAAAATTATATCATTAATAGCGAAAATGATATTATGAGTATTTATAAAAGATGAGTAAGATATGTATTTCACTATATGACGATTATCTTTGGCTATATGACCGTCTGACTGTCACTATACTACTATGACTTATCGGTATGTTTCATTACACAACAATCAAAGCATCAAAACTGTGAAACCAGTCAAAATGATGATGCAATATGTTTAAAAAAAGAATGGATGACGTCACGGTGAGATCATATACATAACACCGAAAACAAAATTTAAATTATTTTCCACGGTATTGGCTTCTTACCACAATGTTCGTTCATGTTGTATAAGAGGCTGCAACTAAAATCTTAAAATCTATTCAAACAAAATGAAAAAAATATTATGAAACATGATAAAAGTGTTCAAATATACATAGCACACAAACACGTACATACACACTCACACATACAAAACCCCAACAACATATAAACAAAATTCTCACATACTCTACATAGACATAGTAACACTCTCCCATACAAACACTCTTCTTAATAACACATTTATACGCTCTTATTAATGCGTAAGTACGTACGTACACACACACACGCACTCCATACACACACCACACGCACATGCACACGCATACACGTACATACTGACACACACACATATATATACACACGCACACACACACTTATGCATATATAATTAGCGTACTTGTGTATACCTACTGATGATCTAATACATATTTAATTACATGCGTATATACGTTCAATAATACACGAATGTGTTTTTGTACGTGTATTTACAAATACCTCAGCCTGTAACAAGTGAAAATATTCGAATATT